GGGGGGATTTTTCACTTGCTGACACTAAATGGTTGGTATTGTGTCCATGTTCTCCAAAAGAAGTATCCTTCTGGCTGTAGGCTATAGATGGAGAGCTTGCATGTATGGCCAATTTCTGAGGATTTTTAAAACACTAAATGACCGTTATTGTGTCCATGTGCTTCTCTTTATTCAAAGAAAGTAAAAAACAACAACAACCAAATATAGAGAGATACAGCTGGTTATATTGAGAGTGTGATTAAATGGCCAATCTAAGCCCCCCCCCCTCCCCCCAGTGGGTGGGGGTGGGAGGTGGGGAGAGGAGAGGGAGTATTATGTTGGTCCTCTGTCCACTTATAGCAGGAACAATTCATGTCATTGTAATTGTAGGTAATTGACTCACATGACCATCAAGTGTCAGACGAACATGTACCGGGTATGAACGTGATATTATTTACTTGATGCCAGCCTGTCGTAAATTCTTTCGTTTCAACTTTCGTCCATCGTGAACTTCCCTCCCTATTGAGCCTATTTCCCTGCACTGGGCGTGATCTTAACGGCAATTGTGTCCTCTTGGACGTCAACCCTTCCACAAACAAGGAAAGTGCTTTCTGAAGAATCTTGTCATAGTAGCCCGCCCCCTGAATGATTCAGATTATGTCAATGATGGTGTAAACATTGACAACAGCGTTCATCACAAACCAACTGGCAAACGGGAAATGTATTACTAAAATGGTTAGTGTCATATAACCTTCATTATACATCAGTATTATTTTGGTTGACTGGATGCCCCCTCCCCCGCCCTCCTCCCTTTTTACCTCTCTTTTCATTTGAACGTTTGCTTTTTTATTGGCCATATCAGATAGTACTTGGGTGTTATTTCTGGTTATCATGTCAATCGATCATAGGTATGCTGTGCATCGCCGTGTGTGATAATGACTGCGTGACTGCTTTCATGATAAAAAAAGGACACGACTTGATGTGTGTACGGCTTATCATTTCTCGTGACACACGCTGGAGGTGCACACTTTTTGTTCTTTTATCCTTTTTTTCCTTCTTTCTTTTGGCTTCTTCTTAGCTCATTCCGGGAGTGTAACACGTGTGTCTGTGAACGTGTATGCTTAGTTCTTGTGTGGGTACATTATTTATTAAATCTGCGGTGAATGCGCAGTCTTCAAGTGCGCGTATGTGTGCTTAAGTCGCCGCCTGAGAGTTGATTGATTTAGAAAATAATATTTTTCACGCCTTTCAGTGATATGGACGAACTACGTTGGTTTTGTGCATTCAAAAAGTGCTTTTAATTAAACGTGAGCGTAACTTTCAATGTGACCCTTGTTATAATATATGTGTTATTTTGGTAGAATCTAGATTATGGGTGATCTTTTTCTAAACGTTTCTTCCATTCCACTTTTCAAAGTGACTTCATTAATTTCTGATGGAAAACGGAAGGTGGGTAGGCGTTATTGTCGGGTCAGTGACAACGTTTTTGTTTTGGGGTTTGTTTGTTTTGTTAATAAGTGTTTTACGGCGCTCGCAACTGCATAAGGTCAAATGAGCGCGCGGGGCACACCAAACATTTTCAGTAGGTAGGAAATTTTGCATTTTGTCCGGGTGGCCGTCGAAGGCAACTCTTATCGATTTTAAATCACAATGGGATTTTTAACGTGCGCAACTTGCACACGGGACCTCCGAGATTTTTCGCCCTTGTCAGAGAAGGCTAGGTGTAGATCTTTCCTACCAGAAGATCAGGGGTGTTGCTGAGAGATAGCAGTAAGAAGGAGCCAAGGAGTCAAGGAGTAGCAGTAGAAAGGCTGCAGAAAGAGTCAGGAGCCCAGAGGGGACAAAGGAGGGTGGGGGCAGAAAGTGGAGACGAAAGCAGACGACAGAACATTGTTAGAGAGCAGGAAAGGAGGTGAAATGAGAAATTTTTAGAGACGTCAATTTTTCCGTCGCTACCCGGATTTGAACCCGG